AAATCTCCTGGGGTCAGTTTCCCTTGTTTTTTGCCTATTCTGCTTATTTCATTCCTTGATCATTTACTCAATAAATACGTATTGGGTATTTGTTGTGTATGAAGTAGAGAAAAAGAGAAACCAGTGGTTAATCACAAGAAACACTGTCAAACAGATAATTACAAGTGATTATAGTGGGGGTAGTGTTCTGATGAAATGGAGCACAGGATCTATAAGAACATACAGCAGACCATATAACCTAGACTTTGGACAGGCCTAGGAATATTCCTGAGGAGGGTGTCAAAGTCGCTGCCTTGAGATGTCACCTGAATTGAGCTTGTTGGAGGGGTAAGAGTCAGATAGGGCGAGATTGACCAGACAAAGGAAGCAGCATGTCTATTTCTAAACAATAGAGTTCCAAAGTGAAAAGGACAGGATTTCTAATGTTTGCTAAAGTGTTATAACCCATTGGAACACACTATTTTCCATCCCAGGAAAAGAAAAGCATCAGGGCAAGATTTACAATTGGAGATGTCAGTTTATCAGGCTGGAGCAGGTGTCAGGAGCAGCAAGAAATCAAGTCCAAAAGGAATAAAATCAGAAATAGAGAGACGAGTAAAATTGGTAAGTAATGGCCATGGCAAAAGGCCACCCGAGACTGTGCAACAAAACTCCGGCATGAGACCGAAATCTAGACCTTGTAGCAGAGGAAGGGTAGTAAAATACTCAAGAGCAATTAAAGATTCCTGCAGGGTAGGCACTGCTTCAGTATGGATATAAAAATAGCAATTGATTCCCAAAAACAAACAGTAATCTCTGGCACTGTAAAGTGCAAAATCTACAGATTCCAGTAAATAATCTTTAATATGGTGAAAGCAACCAAGACAACATATGATTTATCTTATACATGATCATGGCAAGGCTAACAGATCAAAGATCTTTTTAGAAATCTAGTTTGGGAAAAATAATCATGGGAGCTTTGTCAAATCATGTTCCATTTAGAGACAGTTTGAGCTCCCATCATTTGAATGATCACTATCTATAATAGAGAAGTTTGTCTATACTTTTCACCCTCTATATTCTCTAAAAGGTCTTTATGGAAAATTTATTTCAATGTGTTCAATATGAACCTAAACAGTCAGTGTTATTAAAAATGTTTATTTTTCATATTACAAAAGTAATATATGCTCATTGCAGAAAATTCAAAAAAGGCACACAAAAATTAATATCAATTATAATCCCATCAATTTAAAAATTATAATCACAGTTACCATTATAATATACGTCCTTTTAGTATTTTTCCTATACAATCAAAATCACATATACAGCATAACTGAAACTAAATAAAATATGTATCTTGCTTTTTTCACTTTAATATATCATAAAGGTTTTCTGAAGTCATTAACATAATATTCACAAACATAAATTTAAATGCATGCCTAATGCTTCACCTTGTGATCTCATTATAAATTACTTAACACATCTCAAAATATTGCATATGTATTTAAATGGGAGAAATAGATACAACCAAAATGCATTTACAAACGACATCTTAAAACACAAATCTGTGTATGCATCTCTGATATTTGTCTTAGGATCAATTCTTAGAATTATCGGGTTAAAGTATATAAATATGTTAAAGTGGAAAATAATCAGAATTTGGTTAAATAAACCACATGACCTACAGAATTTTCTGGTTATAACAAGCCGGAGAGATAAATTTTTCAAAAAGTTTGAAAGATAAAAGGAATGGCCTAAATAACCTTAATTAAATTAATTATTTGGAAAGAGATGATAGGAATTAATAAATTCCAGTTTTCTGTTTACCCTGAAATTTTCGTGGAGATCTGAAGCAGAAGTAATTTGAAATATCTCGCCTGTTTAATCATACATATTTTGATTTGCTATGTTTCAGATTCCTAAATTTCTTAAAATGGAACTAGAATATGACAGAGTTCACCTTCATGTATCCATTCCTTTTAGATCTTGTGAATTTTTGAAGGAATTGATGGATCTATCAGTGGCCAGGCCATTTGGGGCAGAGTTTTGTAGGCTTATATGAAAACTATAGGCTTATGTGCAAGATCAAAGTGCCCACATCATTAATGCTGAGTATTTTAGAAACACACACTTGGTTGATGAGTTTATTGTATAAGTGATAAGCTTTAATCATTAAGTAATATGGTTAAACGGTTAGAGCACATTTATACATTTAATAAATTCAGCGTATTGTCTTAAAATTTAGAGCTAAGAGAAAGCAGCAATTAATTGAGTTCCAGAAACCATATTTGAATTTTACATGCATTTTTTTTCATTGAGTCCTCACAACAATACCATGGAAATTTTTATCTTCTTATTTGTTTGTACATGAATATACTTGGGCTTAACGTATTATTGTTAGCAGAATATTTGTGAATAGGATATTTATGTTCAGTGAAGCAGACATTCATGGAATGGCCACAACGCACCAGACATTATGTTAAATGCTGTGGGTAAATAATGAGTCCATACAAGGCTCAAAGCCTTGTTTTGGAGACAGAAATACAAAGAGTTATTTTTAAGTGCAGACAGAAATGGCTCCACAGGAAGCCAAGAAATGCTTTCTGTGGAAGATGATGAAAGATTTAAATCTTTGTACATTAGTAGACTTTAGCCAGATGAAACTGACTTGAGTGGACGAAAGTCCTTGCTTAGGTGAAGCACTGTATGACTTCTGAGCAAGCTGTCCACTTATGTCTAAAAAGAGTGTATTTAGAACCCAATCTGTATTGAGCATTGTGCTAGATACTTCACATGCTGTGGTATATTTCTAACTCACAACGGCCCTGGTGGTAGAAATTATTTACCCCATTTTATAAATATAGAAATGGCATCTCAAAGAGATTCAGTAATTAACTTCACTTAGCTCTGCCTTTAATTGAAACTCACATTAGTCAATTCCTGATGCCTATGTACTTAACGCTGCAGGAAGCTGCCTGAACCACATAAAATATACGGCAATTGTATAGTTACTACCCGCTGTAGACTGAATGTTTGTTGCCCCTTAAAAAATTCATATGTTGAAACCTAGTCCCCAGTGTAACGGTATTTGGAAGTGGGGTCTGTGGGATATGATTAGGTTGTGAGGGTGGGGCTCTTTGAATGGAATTAGTACCCTTATAAAAGAGACGTCAAAGAGCTCCCTTGTCCCTTCCACCATGTGAGGACACAGGGAGAATATGGTCATCTATGAATCAAGAAGCAGGTCCTCACCAGACACCATATCTGTCGGCACATTGATCTTGTACTTTCTAGTCTTCAGAACTGTAGAAATAAATATGTGTTTTTTATAAGCCACACAGTTTTTGCTATGGCAGCCTGAGTTGACTAAGACACTAACTCGCTAAGAACCATTAGCAGGCTATTGGAGTAGTCTGTACAGGGTGCAAGCTGCAGGTTATTGAGCCTGTAGTCATCACAATGCCTGACCTATTGTTTGTGCCCACCAAGTAGTCAATGCAAGAATGAAAATTGATGGAGGTCCTGAAATAAAGTGCAAGTGCTTGTGTGTGTGTGTGTGTGTGTGTGAGGGAGACTTTTGGATGTGAGGGCTATGCCAGGGAAAGATTTCTTATAGGACTGTTACTTCACAGCTAGGTGGAATGGGATGGGGCAGAACTATCAGTCAGAATCTGTAAGGGACAGACTCATTGTTATCTTCTTCTAACTTACTTGGACTTTATTTTTTTCAAGACAGTAATGTTCCCTGATTAAATACCTTCTCTCCCCAGTGTAGCTGGGAATCATTTTTTTTTCCTTCTTCCCACCTTTAAAATGAACAGAAGGCCTGGAAGGATATCAATCAATCAGTAGACACTGGAAAGAAAGATATATGCTAGGGATATAGAACAAAATAGAAGGAATTTAGCCATCGTTAATATCATTGAATCACCATACAAGCCCTACACTTTTTACTCTAGGATTTATTGTGACATGCAATAAATCAATGCCTTACTTGTTTACATCATTGTAGTAGGGTTTTGTTTTCTTACTTGCTGCCCAATGGAATCCCAACTGATGTAGACTAAAATCAATGAAAGTAGAGGAGTCAGAAAAAGTAGAGTCAGAATTAATGGCAAGAGGAGTGAATGGGCTAAATTAGGCATTGAATAAATTATAAATGTGCCTCCAAAGGCTGTTTCAATAATGATCTTGGTCAAGTAGCTGTAAACCATATCAGAACAGGAGCAAGAAAGAGAACCATAATTCACGGGGACAAATATCTGTTTGAAGCTGAGAAACAGATGAAGAAACAAAACAAGGCTGAAGGAGAAGGCCAACCAAACTGACTAGTATTGAAGTAGCTTTAGGATGCAGGCACATGTGTAGTTTCAGGGAGGGTACAGCATCTAAAGGTTTTGAAGTAGGACATTGAAAATACCTCCCACCAAGATTAGATTCGATGCTGCAATTCTCCAAAGGGAGACTGGGGTAGTACTAGGAAGAATAAGTTAGATTCTGAAGGGCTAATAAAGCAGAAAATAGCCAAGCATTCCCCTGGCCCTGACTCTGTAAATTTGACCCCTTAATCGTTCATAAGCTCTCTTGTTTTAGATTGAAAAGTCTGAATTCTTGTCTGGGTTCCTCCAATGATACTGTGAGTGTCATGGGTCTGATAGAGGGGATGAAAAAGAAAGAATTAGTATTCTAGACTTATGACCGAGGAACTTGGCTCCTAGACTTAAATTCTGTTACAAGTAATCCCCATGCATCCATGCATGCTGACAGATATGGCACAACACTTTAATCGCCATTGGCTATGGGCCTAATAAAAGGGGGCAATAAAATCAAATTCTGCTGGGCTCCATTTTTACAGGCAATATCAAGCCCTGTGAACTTTAATGCCCACTGTCTATTTAGATAGTCATGGCTCAGAGCTGGTATTAAAAGTAGCTAGAAATGCTTGTTCTGAAGTGTTGAAATATATTGCAAATTACACTGGAGTATAGGCTTAGTCCAAACCAATCCCATATTGCACTGACCTTTGCAAAATCAGTTCTGTTTCCCTTGGCAGCTTCATTTCCACTCCTTCTCTTTGTCTTCTTCCCCTGAAGTTCCATCTTTATTTTATTTTGGTGTCAGGAAATGGTATGAGGTGGCTGCTAGGTTTTAGGTGTGTTTGTGTCAATGTGCACGATAGGTTTTGCTTCTGGGTGACCAAAACAAACCTATTTTTCATTCCGTTTCCTTTGCAGCCTCATTTTCATTCCAGTCCTCTGTATTCCTCAGACACCATCAAATACTTTTCCTTTGTAAAACAATGAATGCATTATTCTGGGCTGTGCTTTTTCTAGGGCTCAAAAGAGAGCTTGGCGTTTTCTTGTTTCCCGACACATTAAAGAGAAAATACTATATTCTAGACACCCAAACTTTTGTGTCAAGTAGCGTAAAAAAAACAACAGCAAAATTAATCATAGGAGGGAGATAAAAGCTACATCTGGCACACGTTCACAGGGGTGTTGTTTCCAAATTCTTAAGTGGAAAGGATGATTTCTGAGTGAAATGATAATGTGAAACAAAAACATCATCTGAAAGAAGATGGAGGATTTCTGAAGAGAATTGCATTCACTTAAACAGGGAAGTAGTTTTTGACCTTTAGAATTTAGCCAAAAGCTTGAATAACCTCACTTCTGAGTCTTTGTGTGCAGAGAAGGCACTAATCTCAGCTCTACTTTAATAAAATTTTATCAAATATTTTGTGTGGAGTTATACTGGAGCATCATTCAGACTGAAGACACCCAGCTGTGGCCTGTGGCATGGTCAAATACCAACTCAGCTTCAGATTTTTATGTGCAAATTCAAAAGAGATTATATTTTCCAACCAGCAGAGAATTATATGTTCACTAAAACTCAAACTTAACCCACTATTAATGGATGACCAAGTATAGTATTTGGCCACGTTCATACTTTCCTAGAGGGTCTTGCTCTATTTAGACTTTCAAATATGATTTTCTATCTACAGTTGTGGTTCTTATACTTTTGTGTGGTTATTAATCATCCTAGAAACTTGAAAATATATATTCCCAGAAGATATTTCATACTTTCTGAAGCAGAGTATTTTTGTGACAGTGCCAGAATCTGTATTTTTTACACAGCACTCAGAATGACTTTTTTGAAAAACTACTGATTGTTTAGATTATATTTGTATCACTAATCATAAAAACTATACTATCTCATGACTTCTTGTTTGTACATATTCCAATGACTTCACAATCTATACAGGTTTGCAGACTTGTATTTTTTCAATGATTTTTTAACCATCCAGTTGCTCCATTTCTTTTTTGACCTTATGTTTTTATCTTTTTAAAACTTTAACCGTTAAATGAAATCGTTGTTCTTGTGTGCCGAGGATTTTGATGGAGGAGAGTCCCTTTACTTGTGGCTGTCACCATGAGGATAACCTGGACACTCAAGGGTTAGTCCTGCTGATTGACACGCTAGGTAGCCAGGACTTTGTGTTTCATGCAATGTAAGGGCCTCTGGAATAATTGGTTGTCCTATCTCATCAGCATCAATGGAGAAAGGAGGGAAACATAACACCTATGCTGTGAGGTTTTTTTTCCTCCTGTCTGTTCTCCTCTTAATGATAAGGACACAGAGATAGTTACAGGAGGGAGACAATCGGGGGGGTTAAAAGAATATGACTAGAAAGGATGTCTCTCTGTAGGTGTTGTCATTCTATATGGCAAAATCAGATAGATTTGATCTCAAATCCCAATCTCAGTAGCCTTGAGCAAGTAGCTTTATCTCTTTGACACTAAATATTACTATTATTAAAACTGACACAGAGTATGTATTGATGCAGTATTTTACAGGGGATAAACGTATGGGAAAGGTCCAAATATGTTTGTGTTCACCAGAATGACTTTAGGATATTTTCACATTGACTAATTAATGTTAACATTGGACAGCACATTGGTTAGCAATTTTTTTCCTAAGTGTTAATGACTTTAACTTTGCTAGTTACGTTTGATTTTCAAATGATAACCTAACCTCATGTGTTGAACACTGGTAGCAATATATACTTCCAATTACAGGAGAAAGGTAGTTTGATAATTAAACTCTTCTTCGGTTTTCAGCTTAATTGGGTGGCCCAAAATAGTGTGAAGAAACATTTAGGGTGAACTCTCTTGCTACAGGCTGGCTGAGTTTCTCTGCCTCTTCTGTTATATCAATGAGATTAATTAAAAGATCTATATTTAATGATATTCTAGGTGCATAAGATAAATGAGAATTATTTACTTTCTCTACAACACTGCTCTTCACATAAATTCATCTTTGGCCATACACATAAATTTAGTTAAAGTCAACATTCTAAAGGATAACCTTTATCCTCTTTCACTTTGTGCCATGTTGTCAATTCCTAAGAAATATATAACCCTTAGTAAGAAAGAAAAAGCCAGAAGTTCATAGCTGAGAATCTGCATTGTGGAGCCTCAAACCCTGTCTACTTTAGACTCAGCTTGAGTATTATTATCTTTGGAAGGCTTCTCTGATGTTCTTTCCTTTCCGCCATCCCTGCCAAGCCACCAAGTAGAGTCAATACCTTCTATTTTTGAGTGCTCATGGAAATCTTCCCAAATACCTGTCAGATCATTTATCCTTGTAGTTGAACACCAAGTACTATAAAAGATGCTCTGGATCCAAAGGTGATTAAGAAAAAGACCACGCCCTCCATGAGCTCATCTAGTAGAGGAACTGATGATTAATTATACCACATGTAAGAGAGAGTCAGAGGGAATGAATGAATGAATAAATGAATAAATGAAGTAACTTGATGAAAGTTCTAAAATCAAATAATTCCCACTGCATTTGTCAATAATGGAAAGCTAGTATGAATTTTCTGCTTCCTACTTAACAAATAGAGTATTTAGCACTTCATAGGACATTATCTCACTTAGTCATATCAACAAATGCAAAATGAGAAAAATAATAGTTCATTCTTCAATCTTTGGGGAAAAATCGAGACTCAAAGAGGTAATCAGCTCCCAAGACATGAACTCAAATGCAATTTACCGTAGGGTCTATTTGGATTTGCACAATGGCAGTTTTTGTCGGGATACATAAGAAAATGGGAAAGAGTGTATATTAATATCATTTGTCGTCAGTATGGAAATGAGATATGTAGTCTTTAAGGAGTTCATTCCCTGTAGATTAATCTCATTGTTCTCCCTTTTAAAACAAACCACATGGCATAGGTTAAATAGAAAAGAGAAGAAATACATGGCAATGTACGTTTTTGCTATCTACACATTGTCCGTACAAAATGGTTTATCAATAAATCAACTGAAAAAATAGAAGAAAGATAAATCCCCCCAAATTACTTCTTTGTAGATTGTAACACATTATACACATAGGATGACCAGAAAACTACGTACTGTAACAAAGACATTTTTTTAAGTAGGAGTTATCAATTTGTATATAATAGATACCTCCTTTAATAACCTATTTTCTTACAATTTTCTAGATCTGAACAAATCAGCATCTATCCCTTGCTGTGTACGCTTCTTTGCAATGGAAATCATATAAGATTTAGAAAGCAGTTTATCTTTTGTTCTTAATGAGATCTCCTGTGTCAGTCAACATCATCTTGGGCCTGGCCACTGCATTTTTACAGTAGTCAGCATATCAAGATGCCCTCTTATTTTAAAATTCCATGTGGTTCAGGGAAAAAACAGAAAATTCTATTTTGAGGAATTTGAGAACCATTATTTGTCTACATGGCAGAAGTGAAAGAAGGAAGGATGAAATTGAATAAGGCAGTAAGAAAGAAAAACTGTAGAGAAGAAAAAATTAATGTTCGTTTCTTTTACAGATGACCAAAAGCCAAAATTCAGGTTTGGAATTGTATTTAGAATAGTGTAAGTTATCTATTGCTGTGTAATAAATCACCCCCAAACTCAGTAGCCTAAGGCGACAAATATTTATCTCATTTAGTTTCTGAAGTTCTAGAATCTTCTGGGAATGGTTTAGCTGGGTGGTCCTAGCTAAGGGTCTCTCATGAGGTTATCGTCAAAATGTCAGCTAGGGCTGTAATAGCAGCTTAAATTGACAGTCTCTGTTCTCACTTTACCTGGGTTCAAATAACAGATCAATATTTCACTAATTGTGTGAGCCTGACATATTTATTTTCTTAGGATCTTAGAAAATAATAGATGTTGTCACTTAGATTGGGAAATTAACTCAAAGAAATATTGCGAGTACTAAGTGAGATAATGCAATCAAAAGCAGATTATAAAAACAGATAGATCAACACCTGGAAAATAGCAAGCACTTAGCAAATATTAGCTTTTACTATTGATATAATGACATATTCAAGGGCAGATAGCAAAACAGTTATAGAAGTAAGGAATTTTCTATTCATTTCAACAAATGTATACAGGATATCTATCTCACAGTATGACAGCAGTGGTACTGGGCACTGTGGATAGAGTCATAAATGAGATATGTGTCCTCTTTTACTTTAATGTTCATCTTACCTGAAATATAAACTCCAGAAAAAGAGCAGCAGTGAGGGTTATTATAAAGAACAGAAGGACATCATGCTCTACAGATAAACACAAGAGAATCTAATCTAGTCTGGGGGCCTTTTTTAAAAAAAAAAGAAAAACCTCCCAGAAGAAGAAATGTTTAAATTGAATGTTAAATGATGCTAAGACAGATTGCTATGGGTGAAACCTGAAAGGCAATGACATCATGGGGTTCAAAGGTCCGGAAGAATATAATATGTCATGATAGAGCTGCTGAAAAAGTCTAGAAATTGTGGGGTTAGGGAAATACCCGGTGGTCAAGGAGAATGAACAGGAACTCCAAGTGAAAACAGGTGGCTGTGTGGATATGTGTGTGCACATGCATGGCTGTGGGAGTGTGTGTGTATGTATTAAAGGAGATTTCTGAATGCAGTCATACATTCACGATGACTAAGAATAAAGAATATAGCATAAATATGGAGAGAATGTCGTAGGAGACTTCACTGGAGAGACGGTCAGAGGCCGAATCACAGAGGGACAACATTGCCATGAGACAAAAATCTTTCCCTAGAAAACATCAAAACTTTTTCAAAATATCTAAAAACACAGCTTCGTCAGTGACAGTTACTATGCTTTGGCCAGGCAGGACCACAGGGATACACTATGTTCCTACCCTGTACTGGGTGTCATCATTGTCAACAGGAAGCAAGATCACCAACTGGAAGACAATGGGAAGCCCTTACTTCACTTT